AGAGAATTTCGTCAAGATTTCATTACGTTTAAGTGAAGATCCGTGCTGGATCTTGATAGAGGGATCCTGCCAAGAGTTAGAATTATATCAGAGGAGAATTATACCAAGAATAGAACATGATTATTCAGAATACTCAACTAAGAAATCCTGACAAACTTCTATCAGGTTCCTGAGAGGAACTGCTGTATATCAGGTATTTCGAATGCTTAAAAAGGATACAAGTATAGCCAGGATCTTGATAAGAAAATACAAAGAGCTAGTTAAGATCTTTCCAGGTTTGTGTCTATAGCCTATTTCAAATTTTATTTTCAGGTTCCTATCAGGAACCTAGCAAGAATGAGTGAAACGGTTTCGTCTCATTTTTCGCTTGGTTAAGATCATGATCCTTTCAAGATTTGAAAATCTATAGATCATAATAGAATTTCAATAAAAATGTTGAGCAAAATCTTAACAAAAATAGATTGAAAGATTCTTCAATATGTCATAATTGTTTTTTTGTTCAGAACACAACATAATTCTGACAACTGAAGAATTTACTGGTATTTTTATCCTCACTTTGATCTGGGTCTTTTTGTAAGCAAAAAGAACGATTCTTAACAACCTTGAAAAAAAATATTCTAAATCACTTTGAAATTTGTATAAAAGTTGTTTTGAGATTCTAACTATAGCGAGAGGTTAGTTTTTAATACTATCAGGAAAAGAAAGTTGAAAATCATTAAATTAGGATGTTAATTAGAATTTACACATCGGAAAATGTTTTCATTAAATATTTAATTTTCATTTTAGTCAACAGCAAAATTTTCGAAAACACTGCTTATAGTTTATATTATGTTCGAAAAACAAATTTGCAAATGTATTTTTTCAATCGAATTAAAATTTTTAAAAACTCCAGGTATATCTTTAAATATAACTGAAATAAAAAATTCTAAGTATATTTTTAAATAGAATTGAAATTAAAAAAAATAGTAAATTTCACCGACTAAAATAAATGTGTAAAATGATATTGTATTTTCAGAATTTTTTGAAATAATTTCTATCTATATAAAATTCAAATAGAAGTTTGCATTAGTCAGAAATTTCTATGTTGAACGCTGAAGTGATATAGAATGACATGGCACATCCAGCTCGGTAAGCTGATCGGTATGTAAACTGAAAGTCTAGAGATCGATACTCTATGTGTTCATTTCTCTTATATTCTATTTAGAAAATCCTGCAAAGATCCTACCAAGAAACTGATAAGATGCGCAATGAAATCTAGTTAAATCCTACAAAGATCTTGTCAAGAAACTTGATAATATCTTCGAGAAGACCCAGTAAAATCCTGAAAGATACCATCAGAAATCATTTTTTCTAATTTTGAATTATTGAAATCCTGAAAGGATCCTACACTTTCGTGGCTACACATTTCTTTAAGGAATCATCGATTTCCTGGGTCAATCTTGATTTAAAAAACAATGTTGAACTTGTCAGGACCCTTGAAAATCTTGATTCGAATCCTGCCAGGATCCTAGTAAATCTTGTTTTGAATCCTGATAGGATCCTAAAACTCCGTGGCTACACACTTCTTTCAGGATTTAGCCGTTTCCTCAGGAAAAATAGCGAACCCTTGCAAGATCCTGACTATATCTGTCAAAGATCTGGCGCTGAAACATCAAAGATTTTCCCTAGGGATACGTCAATATTTAGCCTAGTCAATGAAACCATTATCTAAAAAACGATTGAACTCATTTCCAAAAAGGAAAAAAAGTGCGTCTATAAAGTTCATTTAAACCAGTTGATATAATTCATTTTAGTTAGACACAAAAAGCATTTATTTCTGTAACAATAAGCAATATAATAAACAATTTTACATCAATAGAAGAGGTTGATAGAGATTAAGATATCAATACTGATTAAATAAATACATGAATTCGTGACAACATCTATATGTTTATATACAGTTTAGTGGAAAAGCTTTAAAGTTATTTTGAAATGTTTAATGTGTTTAATTTTTCTTAATTGACGATGTATGAGTTTGATTATTAATACTTGGACTAATTTGTTGTCGTCGGATGCGTATTGAATTAAGAAGTGAAAACATTTTTTCTTTTATTTCTGGTATAGCAAACATACAAACTAATGGATTAGTAATAACAGCAATATACATTATATTAAGAAGAATCCAGCTTGCCTGTAATTGAACTACAATGATAGGTGGATTATTATTTGCCATGACAATTAACATAACAATAACAATTGGCATCCAACCAGTTACATGTAACATTGAAATTAATAATAATTGTATCATCATTCCAAGATTTTTTTTCCAAATATCTTTTTGTAACATTCGACGCTTTTGTTTCATAACTCTGATGACAAGAATACAATTAAAGGATATTATAAAAGATAATGGAATAAATATTGTAAAAACAAGATCAAAAGTACCAATTCCAGGCAATAACTGATAGCAAGAGCCACCACATACTGGTACTGAATCATCAAATTCTTCTTTACATGGAGCAAGCATAACTAATGTTGGTGAATAAATGAACGCTGCTATTGCTAATACTATCATCGGAACGTAGTGAACTATCATTTTGTGGCTATATTCAAAACAAAATATTTAAAAGTAAAATTACAATGATAGATTTACCTATTTAAGAAACCTTGATGAAATATTAATAAATATCTTTCGACTGATAAATGAGAATTCAGAAATAAAATAGATGTATTTAAGCTATAATTGAATGATATCCAAAATTTGCAAAATTTATATGAATACATTGGAACATAGCCTGTGCTAAGATATCTGAGTAAAAATGGCATTTCACATGTTGTCTAAATTAATAAATAATGTTAATTATTTTTATTTCTACATTATAATATCATATCTCTTTTAAATTTGTTTAAAAATCCTGAGTAGTCTTTTTCTCTCGTTTCCGATTATTGTGAAACACGATCTGAAAGGAGTGTTGAAGTATATAGGGTAGAAATTTGGACTCATCCCCTGCCGTCCCCCACACTGTAAATAAAAACCGTATATTAATATACCCTTAAAGGGTTTATGATACGTTGCACTTTCATAAACCCTTCAAAGGTTATATTACTTTTGTCCCATACCCCTAAAAGGGTTTATTACTTTTGTTCCATACCCAAAAAGGGTTTATTACAATTTCCATTCAGACAAGCGCCTTAAAAAACGCGTTAAGAATCTTTCAGAAAAAAAGAATCCAAACACAAATGAGTACACTATGATTCTTTTTCGTTTGTGTTTACAAGGCGCATCACAACGTATTTTTTGTAATCTATCCATCCGATTAAAATTTTGGAACTTACTGCGTTGTCCTAGGTTCAATCATGAGATGTATTGGTTCATAGTCCAAGATGTTATCCATTCGGTCAGTTGTATGATATCAATATGAAGTAAGAAATGCTACTTAAATCAAACGAAACTTTATATGAAACTGAAGATGATATAAAGTTAAGCGGAACAATTGTTATTACAGTTTTAATTGTCATAAAAAGATACAAAAAAATATTTTGTATTTAAAAAATTATCTTTGGAAATAAAAATTATTTTTTTACATTTTTAAATAAATTAGGGAAAATTTGTTTTTGAAATATATGTTCTCAAAAAAATTTTCAAAAAGATTTAAAAACGTTTTGCTTCATTTTTTCAAAAATTTTCTAACATATTTCTTATTTTTCTAGAAATCAATAACGTATATATTTCTAGTACTTTTATAAAGTTGTTGATCAACTTTTTAAATCTTTATAAGTACATGTGTTAAAAATAACACATATTTGTCTGGAGGGGTGTACAGGGCATGGGTCGTAAGAAATTCTATTAGAAGATGTAGAGGCAAAATGCATGAAATCATAAATACGGTGTTTTTAAGAGATTTAAGATGTTCTTACGTCTTACAACATGAAGGCGTCAAAATATGTATTCGCTGTAACGCGTTTTTTTAAGGCGCTTGTCTGACTGGGTTGTCCCATATGTCTGAAAGCGACTTTTAGCTCTTTCCCATGTATAGTTTCGACGAATCTAAATAGAAAAAAAAAGAAATAGCTATTTATAAAATATTTTTATACTTACACTATTTGTTGGATATTGAACTAAAGGTAGAAAAATATAAGATTTATAAAGACATATGTGAAACGATATATTCACTTTGAATACATTGTATCAATGAACCGAAATAAAAAGAACGAAATAATCAGAGAAAGTTTTAATATTTCCGTTTTCATTTTGAATTTTGAATGGAAGTAAATAAAAGGAAAGATATAAATATATAAGTAAATCACCCTTATTTTCCATTAGCTGTGGCGACTGGCCTAAAGTAAAGACACGCTGAAATTATTTTTGAGCCTATTTTGAACCAAGTAAAGGCAGAATATAAATATATTGAAGCGAAATGCCTACTTTAATTTGTTCTCTTGGATGGATGTAAAAACAAACTTTTTTCTGAATACCACAGCGAGTTTGGAATAAATCCTCAATCACCAGAATATCTTTCAGATTGATTCAACTCAAAGTTTTTGTATGAAGTTGCTCACGTGAAGCCTTCTGATTTTGATTTTTAAACAATGTGCGGATTGAAGCTTAGCTCGAAATGATTCAAAATTTATTAGAGAAATTAGCACCTCTTTATCATACAGTTATGTTTTACAAAACAGGTACGAAATGAAAAGTGCATCGATGCATGAATGGCAGCATTGTGAGAAAATGATTGGATTAACATGTATATTATATTAAATTGTTTGAAGTGCCCTGTGAGAAATTTTCATGATATATGTATCAGATTAAAAAGTGTAATCCTTTGAACGAAGAATAAAAAACCCTTTTGATGATGGAGTAGAACAATAAATCCCTCATCGTAGAATAAAATACCCTTTTAAGAAAGTAATAAACCCTTTTCTCGAGACCGTAGAATAAAATACCCTTACTACGAAAGTAATAAACCCTTTTCTTGAAACCGCATATTAAAATACCCTTGGAGATAAAATCATATACCCTTCTCCCTAAATCTCAGATTAATAAACCCTTTTTTTATTGTATTATCTTTTTTTCATATACCCTTCGTTTCATAAACCGTTAAAGGGTTTAGCATGATTTGTCGAAAGGGCAAGGGTTTATTATTCTACTCTTTTTATTTACAGTGCACCCGCCCCACAGGCCGTTACAGAGAAATTAATTAATCAGTTAATTGGTTAATTTATTTATTTATTTATCTGTGACGGTCTGTGGTTGTTTCTGGAGTCTCTGTAACAATCTGTGGTGGTTATTCAGTTTTCTGTAACGGTTTGTGATGGTTTCTAGAGACTCCAAACATCATCATACAGATCACCACAGAGAAGCTCCACAGACCATGACTGACCGTGATTGGCGGATTCCGGAAAAGGGGTTCCATCGTGTTTCACATTTTAGTCCCACAGGGATTCCGCTAACAGTCGTTTCACTTTGTTAAATATTTATTTACTTATTTTTCATACAATTCTATTGTACGAGCAAGTGCTTTATCGTGAGACATTCCGATTGGAAAATAAGAAATATTTTTGAATTTTTTTACAAATTCGAAAATAAAATACTTATGATAAATAGGGGTCCAATAGTTCAGCTCTAGTTCTGAGCGAGGGAACTGTTCGAAAGTTCATTTCGGTAGGAACTGATTGTTTTGAACAGCTCGTTCCAAAAGAACTGATCTGATCGAACAGATCTCATCCCTGAACTGAACTTTTCCAACAGCTCGTTTCAAAAGAGCTGATCTGGCCGAACAGCTCTCTCTCTCTCTCTATCTCTCTCTCTCTCAAGAACTGATTGCCATTATGCCGAAAATACTATCCAAATCTGTCCATACACTTCAACATTCGTATTAAATTGCGTTTCATAAATGCTTTAAATACCATTTTCAGACAGCGCTGAAAAACCTGTAAGTATCACTTCTGAAAAAATGATAGATAGTTACAGTTACTAATAGTAAATAGCTCCCGAAAAATTGTACTTACTATCTTTTAGTAATCTTTGAAAAGTTATAAAGAAGTTCCGAAGATGGCCCATGAAAAATTTTATATGTTATTTAAAGTGAACTCAAAAAGATTTTGGATAGTATTTTTGGCATAATGCCAATCAGTTCTTGAGAGAGAGAGAGCTGTTCGATCAGATCAGCTTTCTTGGAACGAGCTGTTGGAAAAGTTTAGTTCAGGAATGAGAACTATTCGATCAGATCGGCTCCTTTGGAACGAGCTGTTGAAAAAGTTCAGTTCAGGAACGTGAGCTGATCGATCAGATCAGCTCTTTTTGAACGAGCTGTTCAAATCGACCAGCTCCTACCGAACGAACGTTCGAACAGCTTTTTCGCTCAGCTCAGCTGAACTTTTGAGCTGGAGCTGATGCACCCCTAATGATGAACTCTACTCAAGTCGTAAGAAAAGCTTAGAAAAAATACATTGTAAAACTGTCCAGAAGTAAATGTGTACTAATTTCATAAAAAATAGTTGAAAAGAGTGTGACTTTCAATGATAATACCAGTGTGCAGTTATTTTTACGTCTGACCTGTTGACTGTTCACTTAAATGCCTCTGTGAGTTAGCTTAGATCGTGGCTCAATGTTACATACCTATGATCTTATAACAAAACACTCGACATATTTTTAATTATCCATTTGCTTGATTATCGTGTATATAAAATGCTAGAACTATCATAAACACATCTTTACTTATTTCACGTAGGATATATTCTTTTCTGGATTTCATACATTAGTGCACTAACGTTATTTTTAAAATTCTGCATTAGATGGACTCGTTGATGTTCGAATCAACATAAAACTCGTTCAAGCGTGCATCATGGAACTACTATTATATGGCTAAGTTTTTTAATAAAAACGAAAAATACCATTTTTTTATCACAACGGAATCGTTTTTCATGGATGTTTGGGCAGCTAGAAGATACTGAATAGCTTCGATGGTTTGTCTAGAAGTCATATTGCGTTGATCACTATTTGATATCACTGTTGCTCTTGAGGGAATATCATGTATGTGGTAGTTATGACTATCCTAGTTCAGTTTATTTTATATCACTAATCTGCTCTTACTCTTTGATTGAATTAATAGAGCCAGAATAGCACTGTTACACAACGGTATTGTTTCACTACAAGAATCTGAACTCTTCTGTACTTTGCGCGTGTATATTATTAGTTACTCTTTTGGTCAATGCTACGGTACACTGAAAAAAAAGCACTCTACGAAACTTAAAAAGGTTCCGAGATTTGTAACGAATTCGAAACCCTTTTGCGATGTCGTACGGAACCTTCAAAGTTCCGTATAGTCTCACGAAACCTGTGTCGGAGTCTCCGATATCTTAAGGGTTTAGTGAGACTTTACGAAACCCTTGAAGAACCTCGAAGGTTCCGTATGATAAAGAAAATGGTTTCGAATTCGTTGCAAATCTCGGAACCCTTTTAAGTTTCGTAGAGTGCTTCTTTTTTTTTCAGTGTAGCATTACGGCTGTTTCCTACCCTAAGTATCCCTGTTTTTCTCGTCTTTTTGAGTGAAAATCTTTATTTCTCACTCTTTCTTTCTATGTTGGTCAATTATTTACACGCCTTTCTAGTATGAAAACGATGCAATTGATAAAATTGCAGAAGTAAACTGAACCAGAGATTCATTAATTTTACCACATCTCCATCAATAAATCGTCACAATAAAATCTTCAAAAATCCTTTTATTGATAATTTTCTACTATTATCCATTACAAATAAAAAGAACAACGAGTGTTTTTCGGAAACATTTTTACTAGAAACTAGATAGAGAACTGCGTTTTTCACT